GATTCAGGTTAGATATTAGGAAGAAACTCTCCACTACAAGGGTGGTGAGGAACTGGGATGGGTTGCCCAGGGGGGTTGTTGATGCCCCATCTCTGGAGGTTTTTAAGGCCAGGTTGGATGAGGTTTTGTGCAATCTGGTCTGGTGTTTCCCTGCTCATGGCAGAGGGGTTGGAACTGGATGATCTTTAAGGTCCTTTCCAACCTTAATGATTCTATGATTAAAAGTGCATCTGTGCACCCATCATGTCACGTCCTTTACCCATCATTAGTTCTAATGCTAAAAATAGTTTCAAAGTGACTCCCAAAGCACTGAGGCCAAACCCAGCCTCATCCTCCCTGTGCTCTTTCAGGATTTCAGCTTCTTGTGGCTTGATTCTTACAAAGTTGAACACATCCCATGGGGATAACATTCATTCCCTGCTCCTGATATTTCCTCTGGTTAAGAATGTCTTCCCTGCCACTGGATTGTGTTTTAAATTTGATTTTAAAATATGGGAGATGCTGTTCTCCTCCCATCAGCTGGAGTTGTGTGTGTTGAACCTCTGTCAGTGAGGGCCCTGGGAGCTGGCAGCCCTGCAGGACTTTGAAGGAGCCAGAAGGAGCTGCAGGGCTGGTCCTGCAGGGACATCACACCCTGGTTTGAACTCTTGCTCCTTGGTGGCCCTGCTCTCCTGTCCCCCAGGAGATGCTGCACACACTGGGAGGCAGCCTGAGGTCTCTCCCTTGACAATTTTAAGCAAGATTCGCTGAGAGAGTTGGGGTGTTCAGCCTGGAGAAGAGAAGGCTCCAGGGAGACCTTAGAGCACCTTCCAGTGACTGAAGGGGCTCCAGGAAAGCTGGGGAGGGGGTTTTCATCAGAGAAGACAGTGATAGGACAAAGGGTGATGGTTTTAAACTGAGAGAGGGGAGATTCAGGTTAGATATTAGGAAGAAACTCTCCACTACAAGGGTGGTGAGGAACTGGGATGGGTTGCCCAGGGGGGTTGTTGATGCCCCATCTCTGGAGGTTTTTAAGGCCAGGTTGGATGAGGTTTTGTGCAATCTGGTCTGGTGTTTCCCTGCTCATGGCAGAGGGGTTGGAACTGGATGATCTTTAAGGTCCTTTCCAACCTTAATGATTCTATGATTAAAAGTGCATCTGTGCACCCATCATGTCACGTCCTTTACCCATCATTAGTTCTAATGCTAAAAATAGTTTCAAAGTGACTCCCAAAGCACTGAGGCCAAACCCAGCCTCATCCTCCCTGTGCTCTTTCAGGATTTCAGCTTCTTGTGGCTTGATTCTTACAAAGTTGAACACATCCCATGGGGATAACATTCATTCCCTGCTCCTGATATTTCCTCTGGTTAAGAATGTCTTCCCTGCCACTGGATTGTGTTTTAAATTTGATTTTAAAATATGGGAGATGCTGTTCTCCTCCCATCAGCTGGAGTTGTGTGTGTTGAACCTCTGTCAGTGAGGGCCCTGGGAGCTGGCAGCCCTGCAGGACTTTGAAGGAGCCAGAAGGAGCTGCAGGGCTGGTCCTGCAGGGACATCACACCCTGGTTTGAACTCTTGCTCCTTGGTGGCCCTGCTCTCCTGTCCCCCAGGAGATGCTGCACACACTGGGAGGCAGCCTGAGGTCTCTCCCTTGACAATTTTAAGCAAGATTCCCTGGGTTATAACACCACTTTATGGAGTGACCTGTTTAAATAATCCAATATGGATTTTTTTCCCCTTTTTTTTCCCCTGAATGTTAACAGGAGAAAAGGGGGCAACAGCCTGGGTGTTGTGGCTGTTCTGTGCTTTTTAAACCTGACTTTGTGAACTACAACTACAAGTAAAGTAGAATGATTCTAAAATTATTCTAGATTATTTATAAAACAAACACACCCCCGATGGTATCAGGGTATTTTGGAAAACAAAACACTCTTTTCTTCACAGCAGCTTCTTGTGAGTTGAGACTGGGAGGAATTTTGGATTCTGGCTTCCTGGGAGCCACTCAGCTCTCATCAGTCTCATCAACCAGAGCCTTGAAAACCAGACTCCAGGGCTGGGTGCTGAGCTGGAGGTGCAGCAAAGCCCCCCCTGCCCCCAGCAACTGCTCCCCAGTGGAGCTGCTGAGCTCAGGCTCTGCCCAGGATGTGGCATCACCACCAGTTCTCAGGAACTTGGGGCCTTTCCCATTCCCAGTGTTACATATGCAAACCACACTGCCTACCTGAAGGAGCTGTTGCCATAGGGGAGACACGAGGTCTCCAGAGGAGGCTCCTTGTGCTGGGGGTGCCAGTGACCACAGCTCAGTGTGGCCACGGATGAAACCTCCTTGGCCATTTTCCCAGCTATTCCCTGGCTCCTCTCCCAGTGGGACTGGGAAAGGCAAACACGGAGCATGTTACCAGTGGGCAGGCTGGGCACAGCAGACTGGGGGCAAAGCTGGGATGCAGAAACTGAGTCATTTCGGCTATAAATATTTTGCTGCCTTTTAGGTTTGAAAAGAGCTTTTTTCTTTAAGTGCTGTGGATGGAGCAGCTGAGCCCGGGGCAGCTCAGGGCGCTGGGCTGGAGGCTTCACTGCTTCTCCCTGCCGAGGGTCCTGCCAGCAGGGGGGCAGAGCAGGTCCTGCTCCTCCCATTTGCCTCTTGGCTTGGGAGCGATCCGGATTGCTCAGCAGGGAGCTGGAGTGACTGGATGTTTGCACGGAGCTGCAGAAACAGCCTGGTTGAGTCTCGTGGCCAGTTTGTTCTGTCCAATTCCCCTCCAGTAAGGTGGGGAAAAAAAAACTTTTAATAAGAATTTATAAACCCTCATCAGGTTGTTCATCCAAAAATGTTGAAAATGCCAGAATCCAGTCATCTCAACCCTGCAACTCGGAATGCCTGGGAGGAAGGGCAGAGCCCACTGGTGAGGAGCAGCTGTGACCACCCCCCAGAGGCAGAGGGGTCCCCTGTTCCCAGCGCTGTTGCTCCCACTTCATCTGAAAAGTTTTTACTGGGAGCCAAACAGTGTAAGAAACGGAGCTCTCAGACTCTGAGGGGTTTGTCAGACTCCTTCCTGCTTGCTGGGAGCTTTAATATTTATTCTTCCAATGTGTTTGATGATTCTTACACCTGATTATTTCTCTCTTGGAAGGTGAAACTTCAACCCTGTGACATGCACTGGTTTTAATGACATCACCGTCCACTTCCAAGCTTAATTGCATATCTAAAAGTTAAATGGGCATTCATGATTTGGGTTTTTTTAGCCTGTTTTTAGTCTTTCTCTCCCTTGCAAGCTTTTCATTTTTGTATCTTGAAATCCTGATTCTTCTCAGCCCCAAACCCCTACACCTTCTGTAAGAGCACGTGGGCAGAACAGAGTGCTTTGAAAAGTGTTACCTGACAACCCGTGTACTTAGAGCTGCAGTCCTGGTGGGCTCTGGTAGGAGCTGTACATTCTGTGTTGGAAATAAAAATCCACCTCTATAGAACATATCTGATTGCTGCAACTGTTCCAGCTGCTTCCATTCCCAGCTTCCCACATCTGCTGCTCCCTCTGCCCCCAGACGTGAGTCTTGTATTCAGATATTCCTACTTTTAAACTAAAATCTTGTTGTTTTCCTGTAGAACCAGTGGGTTTTATTTCCCTCCCACATCACCATGGAGTTGTTGGAGAGAAGGGCCTGCTGGGCTGGAATGGCTGGTGAGATGAACTGGGAATGGGGCAGTTTCCCCCTGCAGCTGGGGAGGAGGAACTGGAGTGCCAGGCAGTTGTTACTAACAGACTTTATTCAAGCTTCAGAGAATCTTCTGTAAAGAATAGAAAAATAGAATCTTTCACTGTTGATCTGACACCAACAGTGGCACAAAAATTACATTTCCTTTCCTTGGAGATAAAAAGACTCATAAAATGTCACCAGCCAGGCTGTACCCACCCTTGCAGCATGAAGGGCCAGTTTTCCCTCAAGAGAGAAGCAAACTCAAAGTGGGTTTGGGTCTTTGTTTTGTTCTTTAAATGCACTGTGCAAGGGGGTATTTTAGTAAAATGTCTGATTTCCAGCTGAGATGTTCAGGAGCTTGGAGTCTCCTTCTCAGGCCTTCAGCAGGCAGCGGTTCCTCTGTGGAGCAGGGTGGTGGGAGCAGCAGTGAGGGAAGGGGCTGTGCCCCCCCCCGGCTGGGGCTGTCCCCATGGGGTACCCCATGTCCATGTCCCCAGCCCCTCGTCCTGCCAGGCTGCTGCTCTTCCGTGCCCCATGGGGAGGAGCTCCAGGCTGCAGGACCCCGGTGGCAGCCTGGGAGGTACAAGAGGACACAAGAATGATGGTTTGGAACTGAAAATGCTGTTTATGCTGCTGTCTGTAAGAACCTACCAAAAACGCAGAGCTCCTGGGAGTGAGGATCTGGTAAGGAAACACTCCAGCCCTGCAGTCCGCAGGGGCATGGGGAGGAAGGTGCCAGAGCCCCCAGCCCTGTGTCCAGGAGGAGGGATGCTGGGGGTTCCCTGTGTCCTGCACCTGCTTCAGCATCTTAGAACAACTTTGTTCAGTTTCTGACCAAAGTCTGAGCTTTCCAGGGTAGGGCAGACAGTTAAAAGACCAGAATGTCCTTCAGGCAGCTTCCTCAAGCCCAGCTTTGTGCTACAGGCAATTTATCTTGCTAAGGTGAGAAGGACCTAGAGTTGACCTTCCTCAGCTGTTCCCTCAAGTACTGGAGGGAACCAGCCCGTGTCCCTTCCTCCTGCAGCACTGGATACAATTCCCTCAATCCACCCAGGTGTATGGAACTGGCCCCAGGGCTTGTGCCCTGCATCTTTTGATGGCAACTAATGGCAGAGTCTTGTTTGCTGCAGCTGGAGCAGCAGAGGCAGGCAGGGAAGCTGCCTGTGCTCCCAGCAGGGCTGAGCCAGGAGCAAGGGAATTCCTTGGCTGAGGAATCTTGCTGCTGCTGCCCTTGGGTAAGTCAGCAGTTCTACACCCTAGGTCTGAACAAGCCTCTGTAGAGCAGCCAGTGCACCAGGTGCAGGGTGAAATACCTCCTGTCCCTTTAGCTGGGGCTCGGAAGGAGGGCTTGGCTTTGGTCCTGAGCATCTTCTGTCTCACAGGCAGCAGAGGTGGAGGTGGCTTCCCCGTTCAGCTCCCGCAGGGGCTGGTACAGATAGTTCCCACCCTCCCGCTGCCTCTCCGACCTGGCCTTGAGGAAAAGGCCCACGTTGCCCATGGCACTGATCACCAGAAGCAGAGCCAAGACAGAGGTCATGGAGATCCAGGTTTTTCTGTCAGACAAGAAAAATCCACGTGAGCAACATCTACTGACCTGCTTTCACACGTGCCCAGCGTGGAAATGACTCCTCAAGGTCAGTGCTATCTTCTGTCACCACAGGCTTGTGGTTCTCAGGAAGGTGAGAATGTGCCTTTGACTCTTTAATGATAGAAACATTTTGCACCCAATTTGCTTTTTGACAGCTGCTTGGAGCTTTAGTGAACAAGTGACCAGCTGTGGCTGCAGAGCAAGTGTAGCTTCCCCAGCCCTGTTCTGGGTGAGACCTGCCCCTGCCTGTGGGGAGAGGAGAGGGGGCTCTGCTCTCACTGGGCTGCAGAGCATCAGCTCAGAGCACAGACTGTTGCTGGGGCCTTCAGGTTTTTCCCACCTTGATTTCCCCCTGGGAAAGCTGCAGGAGCTGCAAACCAAGTCAGAACACAGATGCTTTGGGCAGGGCAGCAGCAGGGCTGACCCTGGCACTCAGGAGAGGGTGGCAACTGCTTCATCCCTCACTGAGCAAGGGGGGGCACAGCCCCAGTCCCTGTGTGTACATGGGTGTGAGGAGTATGACACTTACTCTGACAGAGAGAACTTTTCTTTGCTCCTTCCCTTATTCTGGGAAGCCAAACACCGTCCAGCTGGAAAACAAGTAGAGGGAAGAAAGGCAGTGTTGGGAGGAGGGGGTAAAATTCCACTGGAAAGCAGCAAGCTCAGGAGAGGTGACAGCCAGAGCTGGGAACTAAGCAAACAAAACATTATGCACCAAAGCTGCTCTTCCAGCTGTTTTGCTTTGTTTTTCAAAGCCACAGCCCCTGGGATCAGAGGTACCTTTGTTCAACTGGTCCTGCAGTGCCCACTCGGAGGTGATGTTGCAGCTGCCTGTCACCCGGTCACAGGGACACTCGTGCTCACAGCCACACTGCTGCTGGCAGCCCGGCCCGTACCAGCCCATGGGACACTCTAGGGAAGGGATTGCAAAGAAGTCAAGTCACTGTCAAAGCTCCAGGTGTTCTGAAACCAACCCATTTGTCACTGCAGCTCCCCAGCTCAGCCCTGCCATCCCCCAGCTGCAGCAGCTCAGCACCAGGAGAGGCTCAACCCTCACCCACCTCCCTGAGGTGTTCAAGGGGCACAGCAACCTCTGGCGTCTTGCTTCCCGTGTTCTTCTCTCTGCCACATCTGAGCTATGACCCTAATCATCTGCAAAGCTGGTGGGGGGGGGTGACAGCAGCTGATTCCTAAAGGGACACAAGCACTCGTGCTGGAGCACAGGCTCCCAGTGGACTCTCCAGCTGTACTGAGCAGCCAGGGCCCCACGTGTCCTGTAGTCTGACCAAGCTGCTCTGCCCACCCTGCAGCCTGAAAGCACCAAACAGTGAGTGAACTGCTTTTGGTTTTTGTCATGGAGAA